CTGTAATAAGTCTCTCTTTATTGATTGTTTACTCATGGTTGATTCTTGTATTTTTGTTGCTCTTTTAACTCTCTTCAGATTATTGCTTTTTGTTTTAATGAAGAGTGAGATATAAAAAAGTAATGGGAATAAACTTCCCAAAAGAAGAAGAGGACAGCTGGAGTGGACTGTATGCCAAATGTTATTCAGCAGTTTGATGGGTGTCTGCCTAGAGCTTAGCAACAGGAATAGTAAATTTCTCCTCAGTTAAATGCAGACATTTGTACATCACAACAGGGAAATCAAAATAAAGATTTTTTTTACTCCAAATGAAACAAACATCCAACCAGAATTCATCTTTCAACTGTGATTTAAATATTTGGAATTGAAAATGCTAATCTACTGAATATTGAATGTTCATAAGAGATTTTTTCAAGGAATTGCATTCAAAAGAAATGATTTTTGCCAATTCCCTTGTTGGATTGCCAGCACCATCACAGGTATTGATTTTGCCAATATCCACATAGTAGTTCTACTCTCTGTGGCAGAGAGCAGAAATCATTCAACTAAGGATAATCTTAAATCAAAATGATTCTGAATGGATTTATTGTATATACTCATATATAAGTCCAGAAATGGGCAAAAGTATGATAGCTGAGACCCAATGCTATGTGGCTCTGAATTAAAGAAGGGAAGAGGTGCGCGAGACAGTGGAGCGAGTGAGAGACGCAGCTGTGTCAGGGTCCTGGGAACATTGTTTGCCAGAAAGGAGGAGAGGAAACATTTCCACCACGTTTACCATCTTTGTAAGCTGTTGTTTATCATTTAACAGTAATAACTCTAACATTACTTCACTCGCCTTAAGCAGTATGCTTGGCTGTTTGTTGTCCCCCCCCTTTCTGTTCTCCCCTCTTTCTGTTCCCCCCTTTTCTCACCTGCGTTGCACACGTCTTTCCTTCATTAATTCTGCCCTGCGTTGCGCAACCAGTGTAGGCTCCCGGCTACTAGCGCTGGGTCTCAGCTATCATACTTTTGCCCAGAAATGTTAGTAAAAAAAATCAACCCATAAACCTATGCCGACTTATCCATGGGTCAGTGTAAGTACTGTTCTTTAACTCTTATCAATAAAGGAAGCAAGTCCGAGTTGAGCGATGAGAGCTAAGCCTGTCTTAGGAAAAGTTAAAAGAAGCATTGGCCCTCTCTACTATCTCAGTTGTGGAGTCACTTCTGACCTTTTCAAATGCCTTTTTGAATGCATGGGAGAATGGCAGCAGCCAGAGGTGGCTGGCCCACTGAGACAGTATTGGCACTTTCCCCTCTCCACAGAATCACCTTCTACTTACTCATATCAGACTCTATAATTTTAGCCCCCAAACCTGCCTTTGACTTCGTGATCACTTTATGTATGTGCATATATGGTACATGAATTCTGTTAGCTCTCCTGAAGTTTTTTTTAGTGAAAAGTTGGGGGAGGGGAGAGTAAATCTGTAATTCTTCTTCCCTATGGGATTCTATTAGAAATAGGCTTGCATCTTCTTATACTGGGAATTGCTACATTTGCACAGAAGTCAGAATGTATGAGAAATGGCACACACATGATTTTAGAGTGAAATGTATCTGTTTTCAGAATACTGTGCCAGGCCAAGTGCATTCAGATGAAAACAATTCAGTCAATAGAAGAGGACAGTATACTGCCCATAAACCCTCAGAAATAATTTGAAATGTCACTGCAGATGAACAAATTTGACATCATACCAGTCCTTTTCCTTTGTGGATGCTGTTGTTATAATAGGACTTTATTCCTCTGAAATGCACATTTTTAAAAGCAGAAAATTGACAGATGATGACATGAAACTCTATCCTTCCCATTATATTTCCCACTAGCAGTACTTGTAAAGTAGCAAAATTTGACCCAGAGCTTGATGTAACCTCTTAAGGATGCAAATGCACTATTAAAACAAAATGTTTTGTTCGGCAATATTTCCACAATAATCTTGGGTATGTTTCTGAAGGGCAGGGTTTTTAAGACAGCAGATAGTATATTTTCCTCTAGTAAAAAAGAATTCATCCAGGAATCAATAAAGAGACCACTCTGAATAGTAGGGCAATACAGAAAATTGCAGATCTGCAAAACACATTTCAATCATGGTCATTATAATCATTAGGGGTATGTATTTTAATGTAGAAAGGAGATTGATTTTATTTCCATGTAAGCTAGGGTTCTGCTATACAGAAAACAGCCTTCATTTCAATGTTTTCTGTTTTGCAAGTAGACAAAGTTGAGACCTAAGACCTACATATGGTTTACAAATACGTTTTGCAATCCTCAGTCTTTCTACTCTGGCATTTTCTGACAAAAAGAGAAAAAAAGGGGGAGACTTATTTGTTTTAGAAGCCTCCATGAATGGCAGTTTATCTATCAAGAACATGGCCACATTATCAGGAGCTTAAGTTTCAACAACCAACAGAAGAATCAGCCAAAGTCAAGAATCTGATGTCAAGAAAAGCGAAAATTAAGGAATCCCTGAAAGTCAAGCTGGAAGAACAAGCAGTACAAACCAAAAACAGATAGGGGTGAGCCAATGCAGAGTTCCACTGTCCAGGTAGCTGAAGTCAAGCCAGTGAAGCAACAGAGTCAAATCAAGAACAAGCAAAATCCAAGGTCACAGTCCAGGGTCAAAAATGCCAGTCATCCAAAAAGTGGCAGAGTCAGGTAGCAAAACAAGAAAAAATGACATTGCTCTCCACAACAAGACTCAACACTGAGAGTCTTTTAATCCTATGATCCCAGCTGCTGCCTGTTTAATGTTAGTTTGTCTGCTTATCTCTGGCTTCGCCACCAAGCAGAGGGGCAGTGGGGTGAATCTGTCACTCTGCATGCTGCTCCCTTGCAGAGATGCTTCTCCAATCACAAGTGGGAAATGTTGCCTGAGTGGTGAGGAACATGCTGGTTCCATTGGAGCAGGTGTGAATGAGGACCCGGGAACATTCGCGTTTTTAAAATGTGAATGTTCCCAGGTTAAAGGACTGACTGAATGCACCCTGAAAGAGTATAAATCAGTAACCATTTTCATGGCTGATTTGTAACTACATTGTTGTATAGTCCAGGAAATGTGGCAAGTAAATTGATTTTTTTAATCCTTATGTGCAAGATTCTCACTGTCTATAGCCTATTATAATTCACTAGCATAAATTATTTTTTCCCTAGTGGGAAGGAAAGTACTTTTGAGATATGGACTGTCCATATTACTGACAATTTGTCAAAAAGGCTGTAAAGCATATATTGGCCATTCCTCATAATATCAACTCTGCTACATTTTGAATTGGTGTTTTGAAGAGAATCCAAGAATAAATTTCCTTGAGTTGCACTCAATACATTATTAACAGTTGTGCACTAGTTCATTGTAAAGGGAAACACATTTATACATTTTGACAGGAAGACTAAGAAAAAATGTATAAAATGCCACTCATCCTTTCAAATATGGCATGGAATGATAATCCCATTTTTGAGGATAATGCTAAATGTATTCTGCATGCCAATCAATGGTAGGCAGGAATGGCAGAACTTTAACATGTTTATATAAATCTTGTGGTACTCTAAAGCAGCAATACTCAGGCTTTGGCATCGTCAGCCATCCCAAGAAGAAGTAGTCTTCATAATATAACCAAAGAAAGTGATGCAGCACTGGGAGTTTTATATGGACATAGAATTTAATATTGTGAAAACTGATAAAAAACAAACAATACTGCTCGAGTCTTCATTTTGCCTCCAAAGTACTTTCAACACAGAATATACACATTAAAACAATTACACAGCTTCATTAAAAAAATTAAAAAGGTAAAGAGCTGATACATTAGAGCAGCAATTAATTAATTTATTTAATTTACACCCTGTGTTTTCCCACTCTTTGTTTTAAATTGCTGCATAAAATTAGACACTATATACCTATTGATCCAGCCTAGAATCAGATTGGTTTTCTTAATTTCAGCATCTTGCTATTGCAACATGCTCAGCTTGTGGTCTACTAAGACTTCTGGATCACTTTCACATGCACTGTTTTCAAGCCAGGTGTCACCCATTCTGTATTCGTGCATTACATTTTTTTTGCCAAACGATAGTACCGTGCACTTCTCTTTGTTGAAATTCATTTTTTTTAGTTTTGGCCCAGCTCTCTAATCTATTAAGGTCATTTTTAATTCTGATCTTGTCTTCTGGAGTATTAGTTATTCCTCCCAATTTGGGGTCATCTGCAAACCCTCTAAACCTTCATCCAGGCCATTAATAAAGATGTTGAACAGCATTGGACCCAGGACAGACCCCTTTGGCACCCCACTGATCACTTCTTTCCAGAATGAAGAGGATGAACCATTGGTAAACACCCTTTGGGTTTGGCCAGTCAACCAATTCACAGTCTACTTAACAGTATCATTATCTAGCCTACACTGTATTAGCTTATTTGTGAGAATGTCATGGGAGACCTTGTCAAAGACCTTACTAAAATAGAGATCCACAACTTTCCCTTCATCTACCAAGCTTATAACGCTATAAAAAAACAGCAGATCAGGTTTGTCTGGCATGACTTGTTTTTGAGAAACTCGTGTAGATTCTTTGTGAGTATGGCATCCTTTCCGTGAAAGGGATTGAGGAAGAGAAGGAACAGGTTGCATTTCTAGACAGAGTTTTACAAGGTTAAATCCTAATCATAACCTTTTATTGCAAGGTTCCCCAGTGTTGGTATTGATAGTATGTTAGCTATGTGTTAATGATATGACGTATTTGGTTATCTTGAGCTCTGTTGGAATAAAAAATGACGGGGGGAACAGCTACCAATTATTCCAAGTACTGGAATTATTGTTTTCTCTAATGTGTTCTTGAGCTCAGTTCTCTAGGACAGCATTTTGATGTAATTATCAGTATTCCAGTCATTTTTCTTCCCATTTGGTGTTATGTTGTAAGACACAATTAGGGAATAGCTTTATATTTTGCTCTGTTCAACTATTGCCTTTTTTCTTTTCCATAGGTTTTACTGGGACTTAATAATGCTTATAATGATGGTTGGAAACCTTGTCATTATCCCTGTTGGGATCACATTCTTCACGGAGCAGACAACCACACCATGGATTATTTTCAATGTGGCTTCAGATACTGTATTTCTGTTAGACTTGATCATGAACTTTAGAACTGGAACTGTCAATGAGGACAGCTCAGAGATAATACTGGACCCCAAAGTGATCAAAATGAATTATTTAAAGAGCTGGTTCGTGGTGGACTTCATTTCATCAATACCAGTGGATTACATATTTCTCATTGTAGAAAAAGGAATGGATTCAGAAGTCTACAAGACAGCTAGAGCACTTCGCATTGTGAGATTCACAAAAATCCTCAGTCTGTTGCGTTTGTTACGACTTTCAAGACTGATAAGATATATTCACCAGTGGGAAGAGGTGAGTGAGAACATTTTGTGTATATCTGTACAGTGTTCTTCTTTCCCAACAGATAATGCTTTAAGACATTTCTGTCAACATCTGATTACTGAATATATTCATATAAATGTCTAGGAATTTTAGTTAAAAGATAGCCATAAACCTGTGTAAATTATCCATGGGTCCTGCACATACTGTACACTAACTTTTATGAAAAAGGGAGCCATCTCTTCTTTGAGTAGAATGGTGAAAGGCGATTACCAAACTGTGGTCCTCCCTGCAGCCTCTTTGGCCAATGGTCAGAAGTTCTGGGAATGAAGTCCAAAACACCTGGATGACCAGAGTGTGGGAAACATTAGTGCAAAGTCACTGCACTCAGGAAGTTTTTTCATCCCTGAGTTGCTGAGATCTCAAAGACACATCTTTGAGATAAGGCACAGACTGACTCACGATATAACGTCTCAGACATAGTGTCCTAATTCTGCTGTGTTCTTCTTAGGGCAGCTTACCTGGCAACAAGCCTAATGCATTTTTGATGCTAAGTGAAGGCTGGTTTGATATCTTTAAAAATAATGTTTAAAGTTTTTTAATTTTAATTTTGCTTCTCCCTCTACTGCTATACTGCCTTAAGTTTTATGCCCTTGTTAATGTGTATGTTTTGTTAGTTTTGCAGCGAAGTTATCTGACCAGCAGTGTGTAGGAAAAGAACAAATACAAACACATATTTAACAGCAACAGGTTTCTTAAGAGAACAAACTGCAAGAAAATAAGGGTTTTGGAAAGCCTCTGGTTTGTAAATATAGGTAAACAGTTGATAAGTCAAAACATTAAATTATACCAAAAGACTATGTTCAGGCATAAAAAAATCCCCTTAAAACTGCTCTATATAGCATTAAAACCCCAATTCTATGCTGTAAGTGCGGTTAAACTGCATTGCATGGGTCTACACCAGGCATGAGCAAACTTTTTTACACTGAGGCTGTATTGCGGGCCAAGCCAGGAGGGCTGGGGCAGGAGGGAAGGCCATGCCAGGAGGAAGGGTGGGGTGGGCCCAAGAGGGGGCAAGGCTGGGGCTAGCAGGGCCATGAAGGAAGTTGGGCTGGAGCTGGGGTGAGCCTGGGAAAGGTGGGCATTGGGCGGTGTGAGCCCAGGAGGGGCAGGGAAGGGGGTGGTGCCAGGGTGGATCACCCTCAGGCTTTCCTCCTAGTGTAAGGGTGGGGCTACTCATCCCATCTTTATACTAGGAGATAGGTGAGGCTTTGGAGGTCCCTCAGCCCCCACCTGCTGCCAGCATCAGGGCAGGGCCTCACTAGGAGAAGAGAGAGTCAAGTAGCAAGCAAGGCGGCTTTGGAGCCTTTTCACTTGCTGCTTGCCTCTTTACCTGGGCAGGGATTCTCCCAGCATCAGGATGGGGCCTTGCCTTGTCCTGATACCGGGAGAAGGGGGAGGCAAGTGGTAGGTGGGGCAGCTTTGGAGCTGCTTCGCCCACCACTTTCCTCTTTGCCTGGGCTAGGCTTCTCCCAGCATCAGGATGGCGCCTTTCCTCCTCCTCACACCAGAAGAAGGGGGAGGCAAGCGGCAGTTGAAGTGGCTTTGGAGCCGCTTTGCCTGGCACCTGCCTTCACCCTTGGGCTTCTCCTGGCATTGGGAAAGGACCGCTTGCCTTGGTCTTATGCTGGGAGGAGGACCCGAGAAAGGCATGTGGTGACTGAGAGCACTCTAGAGGGCTCTGAACCACTGCATGCCTTCCTCCCTCATCCTTTCGACATAAGGAGAAATTTTGGCCCAGAGGGCCATGTCCAGCACGCAGGCCTTAGTTTGCCCATGCCTACCTTAGTAATGTCTATGACAAGTCATGGCCTGATGGAAACAGATATAGGAGGGCATTGTAATCTTCTGAATAAATGTATTTAGGAATCATAACAGCAGGCTTCTGTAAAGAATAGATTGAAAGACAAATGATACTGTAAATATAGGTGATTAATTTGATGTAGGTTTTTGAAAAAATCTAAACATATCCCGTTATTTATTTACTTATATGATTTATATCCTACCTTTCTGCCAAGAATAGGCAAGAAGAAAGTTTATGAGGCTGGAAGAACTGCAATTAAAACATAACATGAATAAGACGTAAATAATATAAAATGCAATCTAAAGGCACATCAATAAAAGAAAATATGGCACCTGCTTAGTTAAAAGCCTTCCAGGGAAACTGAAACCACTTGCCCAAAAGGCCGCCTTATGATCGTAATTTGGATCAGTTATTATGTTTAGAAACAAGTTGTGAAAGAAGGATTCCATACCCTATTTATTTACTTACTTACTTTGATTTATACTCCCCTCACCCCCTCATTGAGGGATCCTATTTGTTTTTAAAAAAAGAAAAAAATGGGATGTAGACATCACTAGCTATAGACAACGGCACATTTTTCTCTTGCAAAACAGCCTTTCAAAACCTTATCCCCATTGTTTTTTTTTTCCTGTTATTTTAATTTATGAACTGCAATCTAATCACCCACACAGTGTAACTGGTTTATGCCAAACTGGTTCCAAGCAGTATTATATAGTAATGCTACTGTAGACGTGCTGTAGGTAACTCTTAAGCAACTGTAGCTGTTGCTTTGTGTATCGCATTTTGAGATTGGTAATAAGCCACCCCATGCAATATCAATAGCCATTTTAGATCTCAGGTCTGTGATGCTCTTGGCCTTCCAATCCATGTCTGACTCTTCATAAAGCAGCTTCCTGATTTTGCCTAGGATAAGGACTGACACAGCCAACATTAAGACCAGTGTATGGAGGAGGGATGCAAGTCATCTACCCTTCATGGAACTTTGCCAGTTTGATTCTTTTAGAAAACAGCCACAGTAGTTATTTTTAGAAAGGTTATAGCATCTTCCCAAACTTGAACTTGTTCTGTAAATAATCTTTCATGGCTGGATAGAAAGGTAGATAATATTTATAGACATAGAAATAATTGGACAGAAATGGAAATCTGCTCAGCAATATACCCGAGTCAGTTGTTCATTTGTGGATCCTCATAGCCTACCGTTTGGGGTTCACAATTTGGGATTTGTGCAAAATAGCACCGGCTACTTTCTATGCCTACTGTTGCTTTCCATATAGTCTGTCCATGTTTTGTCTCATCTGACAGCAAAGAGGGAAATGACAGTGACATTAATGGTAGGTGTGATGGTTTAGTCTATAAAGGCAGTGGCCCTTCTCCTGTGTCAGGAGCTGGGGGAGCTTGGGCCACCATTGTAAACCTCTGGCATGATCTTCTTTTTTGTTACCTGTCATCAAGTCAACTTTGATTTAAGGTGGCCCTTTGAATGAGAGATCTCTAAGAGCTCTAGTTTTCAACTAACTTGCTCAGGTCTTGCCATGGCTTTTCCAGTTCCGTCAGTCTGCTTGCAGTGTAGCCTCTCTCTGGTTTCCACTTTTCCATTGAGCTATGTTTTTCATGATGTGTTCAAAGTATGGCAGCCTCATTTTTGTCATCTTGGCCTTTAGTTTGGGCCTGATTTGCTCCCATTTATTTTTCTTTTAAGCAGTCCTCAGCATTGCTTTTCAAATAAGTTGATTTTTTTCCTGTCAGCAGGCTGATCTACTGTATAACTCCCAATTTTTGAGGAGTGTCTACTTTTATTGCTCATACTTGTTACCTCCATATAACTTATGATTTGTTCTACTTGCAGATATAGTCATGTATAAGTCTAGAAATTGTAGTCACAAAATCATCCCAAAAAACCCAGGTCAACATATATTCATTTACTGACTCATCTCATCTAAAAAAGACCCATACCTTTCTTTGAGTAGAATGTTGAAAAAATAGAGCTTAGTTCAGTCTGGGCGAATTTAAAAGAAGCACTGACACCCTCTGCTTTCTCTGTCATGGTACTGCTTCTGGACTTTGAATTCCTTGGTGGGAAAATGGTGGTGGACAGGGGTGCCTGGCTCCCTTAGGTGGTATTGCTGCTTTCCTTCCACTATGGAATAATCCTCAACTTATGCATGGGTCATATCAAAATCCATAATTTTGGCCCTAAAAATCTGCCCTCAGCCTGTCCACGAGGTTGTCTTATGCATGAGAATATACAGTATTTGGATGCTCTCCAGTCAATTACTTCAGGAAGAAGCAATGAATGTCAGCAGACATTATTTTCACAATATTCTATCACGCTAACTTCCTTCTTCTCCTTCCCCACCCTATTTTGTCAGAAAGGTCTTGGGGAAAAAAAAGAAAATCTCTTCCCCATGCTTAAAGGCAAGAGTTGTGAAATGTCAGAGAGAGAACACTGCTGAATGTAGAGAACACTGCTGAATTTATTGCTCAGGGTCCTTTAGTCCCTTATGCAGAGCTGAAAAATCAAAACAAAATTGCTTTTAGGTAACAATGTCTTACTTGACATGCTTAATAAAACATCTCCTTTAAAATGCCTCTTATTCTGATTTTAAGGTAATATGACTCATTTGGCATTTAAAAGACATTTGGAAGTATTTTTTTTAAAGAAATGATGTTTAGAGATACTGGATTGTTGTGTTGTGATACAGAACCCATATCAGAAATACCTGTCATATTTGCATTATCCATTTTTTCTCATGCCAAACTATTAGTTTCCCTTATTCAAATTTATGCCTGACAGGCAATTATTCAAATACATGACTGTGATTGTTGATTAGTTAGGCTCACACATATGAGGTTTACCGTGCCCCCTTCTGTGCAGTACTAACAAGTCTTAGATACGATGCCACTGCTGTTGTCTCTAAGAGAAACTCGACCAGTATCTTTCCCCACTGTTTCTGTTCCCCAGTAGCTATTTTGCACATTAAGTCTGGTCCCTCAGCAAAATGTTGTCTACCAGCAGCATGGCTGCTATCAGCATAGCCTCTTGCCCTAGATGAGCATGCAATCTCAGTGGTATGGAAACTGTATTATAAATGAGCATTAATATCTGTAACATCTGTTGTTCCCTTTTTGCTGGGGCATTTCCTCTTTGTGCAGAATGTATAAGTAACCA